GACCTAAGTGATAAAAACAAACAGTTCTAGCTAACTGAGTCGATTCCTACCGCATAGAGCCGTTCAAAAGAATCTAGTGAACAACAGCAGCTTCAGCTTCCTGTGGTCAGATGATATCCCTGGACTTGTTTTCTTTCTACCGATATCTGCAGCTTTTCTTTTGAATAACCTGGTTTTAATCCAGTCCTCCATCATTATTTTTAACTCAATCCTTTGCTAAGCTAGCTGTAGCGTCGCACTTTAAGCTGACGTTTACAAGCAGTACCTGGCAGACCACTAGAGGGAGCCCACGGACCACCAGTGGTCCGGATACCACAGATGGAGAAAGACTCCTCTAGATCTATAACCCTAGATTAATAATAATAATTTCCATGGAGTCACTTCTGTATTCAGCCTTAAGGAGCGAGTTTATGGGAACCAGAGAGCAGACCAGAGCCAGTGTGACCCTGTACACACCGTCTTATCTGAGCTCTTCACAGGAGACATGCAAAGGTAATAAAATGAAAGAACACGGAGACATTAAGGAACACGGCCATATGTTCCTAAAAGCAACAACTTTGAGCCTGAACAGCTGAACCAGATCTCTGACTCCAGCGCTGCTCTACTGTTAAGCTACGAGGCTTGTTGTGTTTCCTCACGATTCGGAAGTAAAAAGCCCGAACCGTAACCTCCCCGTTGCTTGTTCTCTGTTTGACACCAACAACAATAAACACACATAATATACTTGAAAATAATTACAAAATAAGATAAAAACACTGTCCGTTAAAATGGATTAAAATGTTTAGATACTTTTTAAAACGAGTTTTACAATGAAAATGTCTGAGAATATTACCTTCTAGCATAAGCTAAAGTTAATGTTAGCCACAAAGTTTAAAGAAAGTAAAACTCACCTTCGTATCGGTGGATGTTTACCGAGGCGTACATCCTAACCTTTCTCCAACTTACTTGTTGGAGCTTCGGATCGATGTTCATCACTAATTATTACTTTGGCCAAGCCCTGCAGCTCCTAGTGTAAAATGACATTTTCAACAGACCGGAAACGACTGAGCCACTTCTCTCCGAACACTGAAGCTGCTGTGCAAAGAGCCTGTGGACAGCAGTGCATGCCGGGAACAGCAGCAGCCGGGTGAAGACAGGCCGCCTTCCTCCACACGGCGTCTCGTCACGCTGCTCTGCTGTTGAGGCTCAGCTGACTCTCCAGAACCCGGTTTGGTTCCGGTTTCTGTTTTTAGTGCTCACCCTGAGGCGAGCGGGCCTCGTAGCGGCCCGGCTGGCGTCACGGCCCGTCCCGTGGTTCCCCTCTGACGAGCCGCGTCTCTGCCTGTAGGACACAGCGGAGACACTCCGCCTCTGTTCGAGCCGTTTCTGATCCGATCGGGTTCTGGTTCTGGTCTCTGGAGGGAGGACCGCTGTAGAAACCAGAATGAACCGGCACAGTCTTTGCTTAGAGTCATCCATCGCTCAGGCTGCTGCAGAGTTCACTCTGACGTTTCATTTTGGACCTGGTTCTGGACCTGGCACAGGAACCGGTTCTGGGCTCGACCTGGTTCTGAAGCTTTTCCTCTGATCTCTGTCTTCCAGTCCATTTCCACACAAACCTAAAATGTTTCGTATCTAAACTGAAACGTGGTCGGCCTTAGGTGTAGCAGCAGCCATTTTTAATCTCATATTTTATGTCGTTTATTTTTCACCAGTGGCTTTTCCGTCAGGCAGATGTTTGGTCACCCGAAGGCGCTCTTACTGTAGGCGGCTGCAGCCGTGAAATGTAGACGCCTCATTGGGCGTGTCGGCTTGTTGCTGCGATACGTCATGGCGTCCGCCATATTGAATGTGGAGTATCTGCCAGTAAGCTAATATAATTAAATGGACAAACTTCCAAAGCGCCGTTCTACAAAGTATTGAAGGTGGTGAATGTCACTGACTCACAAACACTGATATATCAGGGAATCAAAGAAAGCACTTTTTCTAACTTTTTGATGTGAATATTTAATTGTTTTGGGCTTTCTGAATAAAGATGTTTATGACTGATTCTGATTGTTTTATATTGGCATTGATGAACACACACACACACACCTTCACAGGGATGTATTTCTAAACATATTTACATAATTCAGCGTGCACTTAGCATTTCAAGATATGAAAAAAACCCACAATTTCCTTTGAATTTATATGTATTTTATTGTAAAGAAAATAAACTTTGATAAATCAGCCATTGTCAAGCATTATTTATAAAGTTTTGCTACATATTATACAGTATAATATGTCAACTGTGCTATGGACAGCCAAGATGAAAAATATCTGACAGACTAAATTATTTTTATTTCATTACATAAACTCTCAATACCCTAATACTTCAGATTGAGATATTTCACTTAAAAATATGCAAAAAGTGAAAGGAAAAAGTGTACATTAGGGTACTAACCCTACCCTAAATAAATCCAGATTTATTTATATTATACTGGGGACACAGGCCACAGACAGGGTTCAGCCTGCTGGTCAAACTGGGAGCAGTCCAGTGACTGGGAGGCGTCCTGGTAGACAGGATAAAGTGAAGGTCAAAAATGAAATTATCTGACAGTGTAATAGAAAATTCATCCCTTCTCCACATTCAGAAAAACATATTTCAGCATATTGGGGCACAGACTCGTAGCACCTCTATAGCTGAACACTGACGATGTGAAACATGACTGAAGCAACCAGCTGTGATCCTCCCAGCTGGTTTCTCTGGGAGGAGAACCTCAGGGAACTGGGAGGTAACCCACTTCCCTTCTAACAGCACTTTCTCATTAACTCTCATTAGAAAAACGGCACAGTATGAAAAAAGTTAGCTAAGCTAAGAAAATAACAGAATAGTTACTTCAAACCAATTTAGTTACACGGGAAATACTTCTTGGTAGTTTCTGGCCGCAAAATCAAGAAGTTATGTTCGTAAAATAGTTTTTTTCATTTTTACCTGTGAAAGGTATTGCCAGCCCATCCAGTTTGTACTTTAAAATGATTGAAACAATTTCAAGCAGGACATGAAGTATGGACTGCCCATCGCTCTACTGCCACATTCAAGATGGCGGCAACTTAATGTAGGACTCGGTGACCAGTGAGCCGTCTCTAATAAAATATACATTATTAATATAATTATCTGACCCGGTTTTGTGTTCTGTCTGTTCTGCAGGTGAACCTGCTGGGCCTGGACCTCCTGTCGGCTCTGGTGACCCGGCTCCAGGACCGGTTCAGAACCCATATCGGAACGGGTGAGTCTCTCTGCTGCGATGCCTCTGCTGGTTCCGACCCATGTCTAGCCAGTTCTCCTTCTGTTCCAGTTCTGCCAAGCCTGATGGACCGGCTGGGAGATGCCAGGGACCAGGTGAGGGAGCAGGACCAGGTTCTGTTGCTGAAGATCATGGAGCAGGCCGCCTCCCCTCAGGTAGTCCAAACCCGGTCCGGTTCCCCCTGCTGGCACCAACCCGGATGGGTCCGGACAGGGAGCGGTTCTGTTGGACGGCTGTTCTGGTTAAACTGGGAATTGAATCTGGAGCAAAGTTCTGATAAACTTCTCAGAACCTTTGAACCCAGTTTGGTTGTGATGGATTGATGACAGGAAGTTAGGTTAGAGAGAAAGAGGAAGCCATGACATAGCAAGAATGGAGCCCTAACAGAACCGAGCCCTAACAGACCCGTCTGTGTCTGGTTCTGCTGGTTCTGGTGGAGTTCAGTGCTGATGTGGACCTGTGGTTCTGGTTCCAGTATGTCTGGGACCGAATGCTGGGAGGCTTCAAGCATAAGAACAACCGGACCAGAGAGGGAGTGTGCCTCTGTCTCATCGCCACGCTGAACACGTGAGCAGAACCAGAACCAGGACCACAACCTGAGGAACACACCAGGCCCAACTTGTTTCTGTTCCAGGTCCGGAGCCCAAGGCCTGACGCTGAGCAAGATCGTCCCGCACATCTGCAGCCTGCTGGGAGACCCCACGGCCCAGGTGACATCATCACTGACATCATCACTGACATCATAAGATCTCTGTACTCCCTGTGTGGCCTGGCTGCTGGGGGACCCCTGGCCCAGCCCGTTGCAGCTGCGTCACTAAATCATTCTGGCCGCCTTGACGGTCGGTAGTGAACACAGCGACTGAGTTGTTTTTGCCAATTTCCTCATGGCTTCTTGTTCCACTTGCGTTCATTTGTCTGTGAACGCAGCTCACCTGGTTGGGCTCATAGACGGAGGGCTTCACAGAAGCTAGCTTAGAAACCGACCCGTACCTCCTCCATCCTGAGGAGTTGATCCGATTGTGCTTGAATTCACACCACATGATTTATATTAATATGTCATAAATGACGTTTGCTCTTAAACTGGAGCAGCATTACAGATGCTAACCAGTTTCCTTTTCATGTATCCTAAGCTACATGAATGTGGGGCATCCTTCTTCATAATGTGATATTTGATGTTTCTAATCACTAATTTCTTCATCATCCTCACAGCTTCTGACCACAGGAAGTTAGTTTGTGAATTTGTTACCATGGAAACAGGGATCCTGATGGAGCGCAAGTGTTTCCGTTACTCTCCTCCATCAGGAAGTTTTGGTTCGATGCTTAGCAGCAGGAGACCAAAGTGTGGGATCCGGTGAATGCTGGTTCTGTCTCAGGTCCAGAACTCTGATGACTGATTCTGACCCAATCTCTGGTTCTGCAGGTCCGGGATGGCGCCATGAGCTGCCTGGTGGAGATCTACCGCCATGTTGGGGAGCGGGTGAGGCTGGACCTCAGCAAGAAGGGCCTTCCCCAGTCACGGTACGCAAGGCCGCCGGCCGGGCCGCCACCTGATCCGGTCTGCTCTATGGCCTGCTCTGAGGCCAGAGAGTAGGGCTCCCCCTGGTGGAGTCAATGCACACTGCAGCAGCCATAATGAATGTTTTTTATCTTCCACCGTTTAGTTTCTGGTTTTCATCTTTAGATTTTCAGAATCTTTCCTTATTTTCAAGCTGCTTCAGGACCCAAAAGTTCACCAGGTTTGATTCTGAAAGTTAAGCATTTTTTGACTTTTATGAGGCAGAACAACACAAAGGTTCAAGAAAAATGATAAAAATCTTAAAGGTGTGTTTTGCATTTAATAAATGTATGGCAGGATTAGGGTTAAGGTATGCTGCATTCAGATATTTCTTCGTAAACTAGTTTAAATGATGAATCGTCTTCATTCTGCTCCAGGATGGTCGTCATCATTAGGAGAGAGACGCGATCGATCTGATCCGTCTCTCTCCTCTTCCTCAGGTTGAACGTCATCTTCAGCAGGTTTGATGAAGTCCAGAGATCCGGGAACATGATGCCGTCTTCTGGTTCTGGTGAGTTCCTGTCTGCGTTTCCGGTTCTAGTTCTCAGATGGAGGAAGAGAAGAGGGAGGGATGGGTTGCCCCTAGCAATGGGTTTCTGCCAGAGCAGATCCATGAAGACTGGGCTCAGTGAACCCGGCACCAACACAGTGGGCGGTCCAACAGCCTCAGCGCTGGATTGGACCGAACCTTTAAAGCAGGGGTCACCAACTCCAGGCCTCCAGGGACCATCCTGCAACATCCTGCAACTTTTAGATTCACCTCTGCTCCAAAATGTCTGAATTCCCTCACCAGCATTCATTCCTCTCTGCAATAGGCTGGAAACGAGCAGCTTATTTGATCCAGGTGTGTTTGAGCAGAGACGCATCTAAAAGTTACAGGATGGTAGGACTGGAGGACTGGAGTTGGTGACCCCTGCTGTAAACACTGTATTTGCTGAACAACAAAGGAGTAGCTACTAAACAAAACACTTTAGGAAAACAGAAAAATGAATATAGTAATTTAATTTTCTACTTCAAGAATCATAGCTAAGCATATAAATATGCTGGGTCATCAAATTCCATTCTAGGTGATATTTCTTTTCATTTTCCTTTGAAATGTGACCAGCAGCTTGTTTTCAGATCCACTGGCTGATTATTTCTTTACCACCCTAATTTATTTTCATTGTATTTTTGGTGTTTGCCTTTAAAGCTCTATAGTTGGTCTTTTAGTATTGTCAACAATGCTGAGTCATGTCCTACATTTTTTGAACATTTTTAACCTGAAACTCGCTGGTTTCAATCAGANCAGAGAAGTCAGGTGACCTCAGAATAACAAGCCTCGCCCATAAACAGGCTGCGCCTCCTCATCAGGAGTCTTTAACCTCCAGCAGCATCAGTCCAGTCACTGCTGCTGCTTCATCATCATCATTACACACAGAGGAGGCCTTAGCTTACACACACACTCACACACACCGTGCTGGTGCTCCCATCAGACAGAGCGCAGGAGTCATGCTGAAGAAGCCGATGTGTCCCCATGGGAACAGCAGCTCTTCCTCTCTCTGTTGCTGTCCTGTTGGCACCGGTTCCACTGGTTCTGGTGGTTCTACTGGTTCCAATGGTTCCACTGGTTCTGGTAGTTCCACCGGTTCCACTGGTTCCACTGGTTCTGGTGGTTGTACTGGTTCCAATGGTTCTGGTGATTCCACTGGTTCTCGTGGTTCCAATGGTTCCACTGGTTCTGCTGCTTGTGGTCCATTTTCTCGCTCTGGCCGGTGCCGGGTCAACAGGCTGCTGGACCGGGCCGGTTCGGTCCGGTTGTGGTTAGAACCGGTCTGCTTTATCGGCCTCTGATGAGCCACTGCTTCTTCTTCTGCAGATAAAAACTTTGAGGATGAAGACTCTGTGGACGGAGGCCGGTCCTCTTCATCGTCCTCCTCCAAGGCGCCTCCTAGTGGACGGAGGGCGGTGGTGAGCTCTGTGAGAAGACCCAGCTCTGCTTCGTCCACCAAGTCCACAGGTGAGGGACGCATCCAGCAGGGCGGGCGGACGGGGACACCCTGCTGACTGTCTCTGCTCGTGTCTTCCTGTGCTGAAGGAAAGGAGGCGGCTGCTGGAGCCGTTGATGAAAACGACTTTGTGAAGGCGTTTGAGGACGTCCCGTCAGTCCAGGTGCGTCCAGTTCTGATCGTCTCCATGATAAGTCCCCCAACTGGACCTGAAATTGTTCCAGAAATTATGGAACAGTTTATTAACAATAAAAGATCACTTTGCTGTTTGAAGACCATTTGCTACTAACATAATGATAACTGCAATAATGCAAGTCAATCGTCTCATAGGTGAGGGAAACCTCAGGTGTGATGTCATCTGATGTTGACAGGGATGTAAATAAACAGGAAGTAGCGGCTGCTAACTACATAGACATAATATAAGGATAGACCCTCATGGACCGCTCTCGCCTATTGTCGCGCAGCTGTTGGCGTGAAGGTTGCATTTGCACCTGTCAGAGAGGAAGAGGAGGCGTTCAGGACGGGGA